GCATTTTGTCACCCGCCTCAGTGGTGACAGCCGGGGTGGCCCGCACCTACCGCAACCCCCTTCCTCCGCCACTGGTTGCGCTGATCACAATGGAGCTCCTCCTCTGTACTCTCTTCCCCACTCTGAAGTTTCCTCTCCCTTTCCATTTCATCCCTCCCTGGTGTTATAATAAGCTGAGACATCTTTTTGCTTCCAAGGGTCCTTTGCTCACCTTGTGGAGATCCTGCTTCACCTCTCGCATACTATAACAAACACACAGAGCCCGACAGCATTTCCATGGCACACTCTCAAGATTACAAATGCCCCTAAAGGCCCATGAGACAAGTGATCCTGTTGACAACCTTCCTCTGAGGTGTTAGGAGTCACTCCTGCCATGAGAAGGTACATGTGCCCTGCATCTTCCTCCAGAGAAGTTCATTCCACCTGAACTTTATCTCCTTTCTATGCTGCTTTTTTGCCTTGAAAACACTCCCCTTTTCTGCTTGCCTACCCATTTTCAACTCATCTTTGAGTCCCTTTTCAATACTTTCATGCTTAACAAGGCCTATTTTGTATCTTTCTAGTCTCACTTGGCACAGCTATCTAGGAAGAGGCCATACCATGCCTTTTTTATTATTATAGCATCAAACCCATATTGGAAGAATGTAAATTAGTAGGACTAGCAGCAGCAGCAGCATGAATGTTTGATTAAGCTCAACACTCCCCCCCCCAAAAAAAAGGGTGTCTCATGATGCAGACAGATTTGCAGAATCTGAAGCATGTTTTATGTTGGCAAAATTCCACTGATGCTACAAACTGTATCCACTTAGACTAGCTGAAGATTTAATCATTGGAATTCTCTTTAAAATATGGGCTAAAAGCCATATCTCCCCACCATCCCCCCTTTCTGGGTGTTGAATTGTTCAGAGAATATAATGAACTAGAATGATGTGTTCAGGCTTTCAAAAAGTTTCTAGCCAAGCTGGACTTCTGTGTATATTTGAGAGTAAAGTACACTGAAATCAATGGGCTTTGTTTCTGGCTAAGCATATATAGGACCTGTTCTTCATGCCCTTATTCATCAGAAATGTATTAAGTCCTGGAATAAAATAACACATTTTCTCAAGTACTAGCAATGAGGGTAAAGAAATAGGTGGACGGTTTTTACATGGAAGGGAAGTAGGCAGTGGTGTCCCTCAATTATTCCTACTGGGAGCAGAACCATGTATCTTGGAATCAGGTGTCCAGTAAAGAAGCCAAATAAGTGGATGACGCCAAATTATTCAGGGTAGTGAAAGCAGACTAGGTTTCTAGACTGAATTAATGAGACACAGAATGGAAGATATAAGTGAATGCAAAATGATGCAGTCTAAATTGGCTGTGACTTCCCAGAAAATAGAGTTGGAAGCACAGTGGAATTTTTATTAAAACTGTGCTGTAGAAGCAAAGAAGAAAAGAGAAATGCAACTTTGGCATTATTAGTTAAGGGATCAAAAATAAAAGAGTTAGGATTTATTTCCAATTTGGCACCACAAACCCAGGATAATAGGGCAGCATCAATCCACAAAAAGCAAATTTCTAGGAGCAAACTTTGTGTCAAATTCCATGATTTCCCCCCCCCTTCACCACCAGCAGCCTGGAGCCAACTTCAACCACATGTGTGAATTTGGAAGAGGGTAATGTACACAGGGACAGCTGTAGCAATTCCCGTGGTCACTCTGGCTAGAAAGAGTTCTGCCATGATGTGAAAAATTGCTTCTGGATCTATCTGAGTCTAGCCCTCCCCACACTGACTATTCCCCATTGCAGTTATGGATGCAACCGGCGACATTTCTGGGCTACTCTCATGGGGGTGGGAGTGCTGTGTGAACTGACCCCATGTAGCACATTATAAAATGGGGCAACACATTTCTGCTCTCTGTATGAGTTTCCACAGCCAAAGCTATTTTTTTAACAATCTCATCAGGAATCAAAATATACAGCTTTGATAATGGATGGCTGTGTTAAAACTAAAAGATGAGTTTGCCTAACTCCGATGGGATCTAGGCAGAATGAGCCCTGCTTGGGCTGTACACAGAACACAAAATGATTTTATTCCTTCTTTAGTGTTTTAACATATCAAGGGGAAAGAAATAGCAACATCATGACGGTAGTGTTACCATATTAGCCAAGCGGCTGGACTGCTCCTCCTTCCAGAGACCACAGAATATTTACATACATAAACTGAGCTACAGATGAGCAGTAAATAGTGGTTTATTGCACTCACAATCAGGAAGATTGCATCTTCAGGGACACCTCAGAGCAACAGACTAGCAAGGAACCACAGGGCTGGCAGTGTGGCACACACAGCAAACAAGAAGCACACAATAGAATTATGCATGGTGTGGCTAAAGGGCATAGGAAGAAGCTCCCCATTCCCTATAGCTCATAAAACTAGGACTTGGGGCCATCCAATGAAACTAAATGTTGGAAGATTCAGGATAGCCAAAAGAAAGTATTTCTTCATAGATAAACTGTTGAATTCACTCCCACAAGACGTAGCAATGGCCACTAACTTGGATGGTTTTAAAAAAGGATTCAACAAATTCATGGAGGATAAGGAATATCAATTGCTGAGAATCACAAATGGGTCCCTCTGGTCCAATTCACTGCTCACATTTCAAACAGTAGCAAAGGGGTGTGTGTGTGTGTGTGTGTGTGTGTGTGTGTGTGTGTGTGTGTTTCTCTCTTGCTTGGTTCTTATTCAGATTCTGATTCATTTGGAACCAGGCAATATATGCCATATGTGATTTAGGCACAGTGGGGACAGGACTTTGAGCAGAGTTGGGAAGACAATTTGAACAGAGTGAAGAAGAAAATGGATTTTCTCATGCCCTCAGTTGACAAATTCCTTTTACTGGACGGGGGGAGGGGGGAGGGAAGTAGAGAGAGACACACACACACACAGAGAGAGAGAGAGAGAGAGAGAGAGAGAGAGAGAGAGAGAGAGAAGATGTGATAATTATTAATCAATAAAAGTGACTGTCATACCTGACCAAAAAAGTAGGGTATGTTTTTGCTATTGTGCTTGCTTTTTTTCAAATCCAAAACTAGTGACCATCTTTCTACAGTTTAAAAAGTGTCATTTGTTTAGCTACTACAGAAATATTTCCTTCTAGTCCACCACTATGTCACTATCCAAATGAGCATAGAATAGAGGCCTAATATTTTCTTTGGTGGAATTCTAAATTAGAGTAGTAATGGATAATTTTATATGTAGGTAAAGAGCAAGTTATTTCCTCTTCAAGATCCACTCCCGCCCCCTTTTGACTATGTATTTCCTTCCAGGTAGCCTCTTTGGCTCCATCTTGTGATGTGTTAGCTACAGAGTTTTATATCTGTAATATTTTTTTCTTTCTCTTTTGTTTTAATGTGTTTGAAAATAAATTGTCTTTGGGAAACAAAGCACTTTTATTTCTTTAGAAATCACACCCAGCTATTATAAAGATATATTGTTCAAAGGCTAAACGCATTCAGAAACCAACTTGCCACTATGAATTTACACAAGAGTAAACAGGAGCAGTATATTGTCCTGTGCTTGTAAACTGCAGTGAAAGCATTTGGCACTGTGCCCACATTTTTTTTATAATAAACGTACAAAAATGAAACATATGCAGATGCTTTGCAGTACTGTGAAAATAGCAACTCAACTAAAGTTAGTATATATAAGTGAAGGTTATGATATCTGTAACTGAAGTATGCATATGTACAAACTTTGCATAAATTAAAAGAAGAAAAAGGTAAGATAATGTTTTAAAAATGCAAAATACACATTGTATTCAAATATTATTAATTGGTTTATGAAATTTCCCATGCAATGGAAATTCTTCACAATGCCACTAAATATCCAATATCTAAATTCAGGCCAAATTAGATGTGATGTTAAATGCAACTTTGCATTTTATTTGCAGGTTGATTTTAAAATGCAAACAGCATGAGCTGGGGATGAGGGCTGATCATTTTCAAGGTTGCAGCAGGCACCTCTGTTGTGGTCCTGAAGAAAATTATTCCTTGAACCTGCAATTTGCATTAAAAAGGCCATTGGTGCCAATTGTGCCAATCAAAATTGCCTCTCTATGCCTGCTGTTCACATTTAATTTTTTTTAAATGCAAGGGCCAGAACATGTCTATGTTTACAAATAGTTTGGCTCACTGGTGACCAGTCTGGTTTGTTAGCAGCTGAGTTGGCTCAAAGAAAAAGAAACACTTTTTTAGAACCCGTATAACCCATAATCCCTCTGCAAAGAGCAGAGATTTTTTATTTGAACACAGGTAAATAAGTGCTGGGATGAAGGATTTAGCCCAGATATTTTTTACAAATTTTGCAGGGGACATTTTCCCCCAAAAAATTGGAGTAAACTTTGGGGAAAAGGAGGTGAACTTGAAAACTTTCCCAGCTTACCTTAAACACAAGTTGGTCAAGGTTTTTGTTAATAAATCGTGTCCTCCCTAAAAGAGGGCACGTGTTGTGGTGAGACCTGGAGACTGACCTCCTCGTTGTGTCTATTGGATAGCCACAACACCCGATTTGTGGGTCCCTCGTTGCTGGCTGTAATCTGGCCAATGGGGTGCAGTCTAAATAGTTCGAGGGACCTATTTAATCCCTTGCATGTGACCCAGACATTCTCTTTCAGCTCGTGCAAATGGAACACCCGTCCACCTCTATATTTAGGGTATTTTTCGATTGACCTTGCTATGCCATCGTGTGTCATCTGTCATTGGGACAGGGGCATGGCAGGAATTTTCCCCACTTGGCTGATTGGCTATTGCCATTTGGGATTTGCCTGCCACATAGCAAATCGTCAGAACTTGTAAGGTTGCGGATAGGCAACCTTCAGGTGCCAGGGATGGAAGATGTTGGGAAATTTCTATTCCACCTTAAGGAGCAGACATGGAACTGTTGAGTGTCACATATCTGTTTACATTCCAGCACTGTTTTACTGGGGTTAGCGGAACTTCCGCTGTGTTACTGCTTTTGCTTTGGACTCTCTTGCGGAGAAGACAAACACGAACACGGATAAGAAGCAAGCAGCAGTTTGGCCGCTGCAGCCATATTTTCAGGTTTGTTCTCTCAGGAAAGCAGCTTGAGCAGCTAATGCAGTGCTTCAAGCCACAGCAAGGCCTTTTCACTTAAGAAAAGGAGGATAAGAACATGTCAATACAAGGCAGTTGAAGTTAAGGGGGGGAAATATTCAAATCCTGCTTCCCAAAAATGTGATTGAATATCCCTCCACTGGTGCTGCCACCGTCCCCAAGGTCAGTACATTTGGCACAAACCTGTTTCCCCCTCAAGACACTGAGCATCTGCATAGAGGGGAGATGCTTTCATTTAGGAAACTGTGCAAGGTTTACCTCTCCAGATAAGGCTTTAGACTGAAGAGAGATTTCACTTAAAAAAATAAAAAGCAAACATAACAAAGAGGGCAGTTTTTACTTTTAAAATGTAGCACTGTACTTGAGGGGTGTGTGTGTGTGTGTGTGTGTGTGTGTGTGTGTGTGTGTGTAATTACTATCCTGTATTTTCTAATCTTACGTACAATTTTGAGAGTGTTTTAATGCTATTTTGAGTCCTCTCACAGGGTTGATTAGAAACATTCTGAAATGCATAAATAAAAACAGGTGTTTTGTGGTTTCCCCTCCCCCAAGTAGGCTTATTGAGAGCCAACACGGTGAATTTTTGTAGCCAGGCAAATATATTTTTATTCTCCAAGATGCCTGAACATATTTTTAGCCTTCTGTTATTAATATTTACCATATTTTATCCTGGTTTTGAAAATGCCCTCAAAGCTGCACACAACTTTTCAATCCAGTGGTCAAATGCTTTCATAGGAGACGACTGTGACTTTGAGCCAATGGAAGCTGGACTATTTGGACGGGGGGGGGGCACCCCAACAACCTCAATCTGCCCTCAGCCAGCTCCCCACCTGCCTGCCTTCGTATTTAGCCTAATGGGTGGACAATCAGCCTGTTCAATCTCTTTTGTCTTCATGAAACTCAGAAGAGTAAAAGATGGGGACAAAACCAAAATGAATTGGCTCCATCTTGCTTTGGCTCTGGCTCCACCTACTGTTAACCTCCATGCTTTCTACCCTATCAGTCCCAAACGGCACCAGTCACCACTGATGGGGCTTATTCCCATGTAAGTGAGCTCAGGCTTACTTCCCAGCAAACATGCAGAGGTTTGTGCTCTTTGTTTACATTCTTGTCCTAAGTCAAACCATATAGGATTCTTGGCAAATCCCATATATTTTCAGTTTGCCTTTGGCTTCAAAACAATGTTTTAGGATTACAGTTTGAAGGTCAATTTGATTGGATTTCTTGAGCTTCATGAGAGGACTGCTTTCCATCTTACTGTTTTAGTTCTAGAACTAAAACAGCCAACTATATTTTATAAACATGAGTGTTGTGTCCCCCCCCACACACACACACACCCCGCAATGGTTCCACTTACTTCCTATGATCTGACAAAGGATCACATTGATAGATGTCCTATCCTAGTATGAGTACTAGATTTAGGCATGTATCTGGCCTAAGCTGACCACAGGTATCCATTTTTACCCCTTTATTTTGTCGAACAATTTGGATTGAATTGCTGTTATGTCCTGTCACAACATAAGCTATGAGGCAATACTGGCATGTTACCTTTAACTGCATGCTTGTTGCTTTAAAACATTCTTCACTCTTTCCCTGTTGAACAGATGTAATGCAGATGCTGGAGCCAAGTATTTATAACCATCTCTCTCCTTTTTGGCTTAAGCACCCCACCCCCCCAAAGGAGAGTAACAAAGCTCAAAAAAGCCATTAGTTTTAGACTTTAGTGAATACAAAAAGGAGATTTATATAACCTGTCAGCACAATTCATTGCTCAATGCCAGAAAGTATTTTGTCAATGTTGGTTGTAGCCTCCATGTGAAAATTAAGGAACTGGGATTCAGGGACCCTGAGATTTCCACTCTCTGGTGGTCTTTCCAAATAGTTAGGAAGCTAAACAACAACAACAACATCACACCGACATATCTTTCGAAGACAGAAGCTCTCTTTTCCATAATAGAGTGAGTGGCCAGTTGAGCACCACTTTCTGAAATGAGCTAACTTGCTGTGACTTGCTTGTCCCTGAACTTTCCCCCACCTCTTTCTCAGCCTCTGCCTTTGGGACTGCTCTGACTACAGCTAATTTTAACACATCAGCAGGTAGACAGAAGAGTTGGAGTGGCAGTGACCAAAAAAAGACTCAGTAGTCAGTCATCATATCCTCAACCTCAGACACCTGCAAACTAGCTGTAGCTACTCCAAGTGAAAGATATGCACTCTGCACCTGCTCAGTGGCATTCTTTTTCTTTATTAAGTCATACAAGTGAAACTTGTGACAGAGCCTGTTCTAAATGGTTTTTGATAGTCTGTTTTAAATTTGTGCTCAGTGTTGGGTTGTTGCTGTTTTAAGGGGGTTGCCCCCTTAGGTTCCCTTACTCCTTTTCTGTATTATGTAAACCTTGCTGTTCTCCAGACCATGTTTATACTTCTCCTTTGTGGTGCTGTTTTGGCTACATAAGAATACACTCTTGGAGACTGAGTTTGTTATTACAGATTTTTGTGAATGTGCTTATAATATCGCTCCCTCCCTCGTTCCCAGTCATATGGCACTCCATCAAATTTGCAGAAACCTCCAATTATATAAAAAGCTGTGATATAATATATGATGAATTGAAATTATTTTCAATTCTTATTGATGAATGGAACACCATCTGAAGCATAAATATTTAGTGCAGATTCAGCTCTAATCTAATAAATATGTACCAAGAGACTGGGAAGTCTTTCTTTTGATAACATAACAGCCCAACTTTCATTCGCTGTGCATCTCAAACAAAATATGTATATTTGTACACATTTTTGGCTGCAGAGCATCTGGAGTTGTGTGAATTTCAAAGGATAACTGCATTTCAGTTTGTCTCTTGTTTCCGGAAGTGCAAATGATAGCACTTCTGTGAACCTCACTGAGTTTCTCCCACATCCCTACAAGCAAGTGAGTCAGCTTTCCTTCAACCCATTCTATGATATTGTGATGCAAATGCACTTATCTTGCTTGGATTACATAAGAACAGGCACTCAAAACATTGGGATCACTCTTCGTATATATGATAATGTTGAAGTACTCAAGATTTCAGGTCAAAACATGGAAAAGTGTGCTAAAGGTGATGCCCTTGTACCACCTTATTCTGCCATACTGTTATCTTTAATTTTGAAGTGAAATTTCCTTGCCCTCCAAATATGTAGAATAATCCCTTTGCTTGTCACTTTTAAGTGGACTTCACATGCTTAAAAAAAATAATCACTCATTTTTATTGTATTTTGTTGAACTTATGCTCATTTGGCAGTTTAACTCCAGCTGTTCTTAATTGGTTGTAGAGATTTATTTGACTCTTTTATATTGCTTCTTAAATAGATATTATTATGAAAATCGATATTGTGCATTTATGTATTTGGATTTTTCTTCATGTAAATTAATTTATTTGAAACAATGCTGTTGAATTTTGTATTTGGATTTTTATTTATTCTAACTGCTTTGAGATTTGTGGATCTTAAGTGGTTTATAAATGTAGGCTTGCCATATAGCTGGAATTTCCTGAACAAATCCGGGATACTGCAGTGGGCAGCAGTGTCCAGGCAGAAATTGGTCAAATGTCTAGGAAAATCACACATATTGCAGCCCATGTCAGCAGTGACTTTTTTTCAATTTCCCATAAAAATAGGTCAAAAATGGGGGGGGAAATTGCTCAACAACTTTGCCTTTAAAAAGCTGGTTTTCACTGTTTGAAATATGTGGACCCTAATAAATGGGCTAAATAAATAAATGAATTCAGCCTAGGAACCTAGGAATTTAGGAGAAATAGAAGGACTCCACACTCCTAACTGGTGAAAAGGTCAGAGGGGGAGGGAAAATATCAGTCAAACTGAAGAACAAGGTCATCATTGCCATCCGTGAGAAGTTTCACTGATGATTGAGAACTGAAAAGTTGCAAGAGAGCAAGATCTGGCAGATTTCAAGTAAGGTGGAACATTGGAGAGTGTCAGAGATCACAGTTGGGCACCACAGCAGAAATGGACCAGGAGAAGGTTTCAAAGAAACCCAGCTGCTTTATGACATAAATGGACAAGTACTGGCTAGGTTAGAGAAGCAATCTTGAATAGATATAGCTGGATTACACTGGGCAACAATTTTTTACTTTTTGAATGTTGTCTAGATTTCTACAACTGATTTAGGGTATTTTTGCACTGCTGAATCAGGAAATGGTATCCGTTTCTCTCCATCAGGTCAGGTTTTCTGTAAACTGAATGGTGGGCATTGATAAAGGTAAGTACACGTAAATTGCATGTTGCTTCACCATTTTTCAAACTTCAGGGCTTGAACTTTCGTTTCTTGGAACTCCTGGAATGATCAGTGGCAGGGAGAGTCCAACAGTAGTCAGCCATCATGACTGCGTCCCAGCGACCCTGATACCTGGTCTCCATCTCTTTCATGTCCTGATGGAATCTCTCCCCCTGCTCGTCACTCATTGAACCCAGGTTCTCAGGAAACCGGTCCATATGTGAAAATAGGTAGTGCATCTTGACGCTCATGTTGGAGGCCAGGTTTCTGAAAGCAGTCAGCATGTTGTTGACAAGTTCTGCATAGTTTCTGGCCTTATTGTTGCCAAGAAAGTTCTTCACTACCAGAACAAATGCCTTCCACGCTTCCAGTTCCACTTCGTTCATTGAGTTTCTGAACTCTGGATCTCTGATGAGCTGACAGATCTGAGGACCATCAAAGGTGCCAGCTTTCAACTTCTCCATGGTCAATCCTGGGAAAAGCCTGGCACAAGTAAGTGAAGCAGTCACCATCCTTGTCCAGAGCCTTGGTGAACTGCTTGATTAAGCCGAGCTTGATGTGCAGCGGTGGGAAGAGTATTCTGTCTCTGTCCACCAGAGGGTCGTTGATGACATTCCTTTTTTTGCAAGGCACCAGTTCCTCCTGCACAGGCCAGTCCTTCTTCGTGTAATGCTGAGCACGGTCCCTACTATCCCAC